TGCATTCATCATCTTTTGTAATTCCAGCCGGACCGCCCCACCCGCCCGCCCTCGTCTCACCCGGCCAGCTTGCCCCCACTCCACCTGCCGCGCACTAAAGGAACGGGGATGAGAAGATCGTTAAAAATGCTAATCACTGCAGGAATGTGGACTTGTGGCTGTCCGCGCAGTCGGTACCAGTTTATTCCCTCGGAAGGATTTAAATCCGTGTAAAATTCAGAGACCAAGACTACCGAGCTGTCGATTAACTTCGGGACGTTTAGGTGCGGCGGTTCAGAAAATACAAGCAACACTTGTTCGTGCTTTTTAGGGGAAACAAACCTCCTTCCCCGGCGGCTGGCCTTTTTGCGGGGTGAGGAAGACAAATCTGACCATCATGCACGGCACTAAGCCCTAAATTTCTCAGAGAACAGACTTGACGTTTGCGCCTGACATGCAGCTCCAGTAAAACGGTGATTTTCGATTGGAGAGCCAGGTTCCCTAGATGGGATTTTAGGTGACCATTTTAGCCCCAAGCAGTCACAGGAAGTCATTCTGCAGGTATGTGTGGGCAGATCATAAGTGCCAGTAGCTAGCACGTCGCGCACGATCGGGATCAAAGTTGTTTTCAGGGCCTAGTGAGTACCTGCGCAATCACCATCAGGTTATCAATGACAAGGTCAAGTCAAGACGACAAGGGGTAGGGTAAGCATACCACACACAGGCTGGTCTGCACATTCTCACGAACCAGACTTGAATTGTTTACTTAAGCAAGGACTTGCAACGCATTCCCTATGAGTGCTTCAGTCGGCTGCACGTTGCAAGTTCACTGCATCGTAGGAAGGCGCCTTCAACCGTGTAGCCGGTGGAGGACAGACTCCCGAACGAAACTGAGCCAATGAACACGCAAGCGGGCAACACGTCGGCCTGCGGCTTCGGTTGGCCACCAGCGCCAGATTCGGGCCAGATGGCATTACGGACCATTTGCCCTTCAAGTGAACCCACCTCAACCGAGGGGCAAGGAGGTGCAGTTGATAGTTTGACTTTCCGACAGACTGTATGTGGACGCTCGCTGGAGAAACGACCAGTGAGACGGTCTCGGGGAATAGAACGTAAACACTATCCATTGGATCTTCCAAGGCTGCCTCCTAGGCACACATGTCATGTCTTATAAACATAGGTACTGATGGTAACCGTAAAAAACTAGCAACTTCGTCTTTAGAGGACCTCAGGCTGACCCCAGAGGCTTCGAAAAAGGTCGCTCAACCAGGTAATCCGAGGGTCGGGTTCGTCTTTACGTTGGCCGTTTTATTCGATTCTAAAACCGGTGCGTCCAGCAACTAAAGAGCTTCTCAGGCAACTATCACCGAGCAAATATCTCGATCTGTGAAGCTTGCGGTAAGCACTTTCGACTTGAAGGGGTCTATACTTCACGCCCATCTGGGTCGGAGCATACACCACACTGACTCAGCACAATTCACGAGGCAGGTCCTCGCACAGCTAATTCCAACCTCGCGCCTAGTCTACATGGACGACAAAATTGTCCTCGAAAAGGATTTTGAGAGCCACCTTAAGAATGCCAGGGCTACGTTTAACAGTCTCCGACAGCCAGGTTTGACCCTGAAGCCATCCAAATGTGTTTTCATAAAGCCACGCAGCCAAGCAGTCTCGGCCGCAGGGATAGAGACGAAAAGGTCAAACAAATCCGTGAGTTGCCCACTTCCGCAGACGTGACCGAGGTCCGCAGCTTTCTCGGCCTCGACTCCTATTACAGGCGATTTACCAAAGACTACGCCCACATCGCCGGGCCGTTCCACAAGCTAACGCAGAAAAACGTCAAGTGGACTGCTGACTGCACAAATAGCTTCCAGACACCGAAGGATAAGCAATGCTCCAATTCAATCCTAGTTTTTCCTGGTATTAGTAATGATGCTAGGAAGCTCATCCTGGATACCGATGCCAGCGACACCGCAATCGGCGCGGTTCTTTCTCAACAACAATAAGACGGTACCGAGCGCGTTATCCAGTATTTAAGTAGATCGCTGACGCGCAAGTATCTCGATCTGTGAAGCTTGCGGTGAGCACTTTCGAGATGAAGGGCTTCATACCTCACACCCATCTGGGTCGGAGCATGAATCACACTGAATCAGCACAATTTACGGGGCAGGCGGTAGTCAGCCTTCGGTAGCAGTGACAGTGTTTAGGGGTTCAGTAGACAAATAGTTCTGATCAACACGTCCCCATCGCGGTAGAAAGCAAAAATGAGTCCTTCCTGTCCGCGAGGATTTCAATGCTAACTTCGTGGAAGGGTATGCGAATGGCTCTTACAAGAGAATCTGTGACCATTTCTCGTGCAGACAGCATCCTCAGTGCGTTGCAGACAGGAAGCAACTTTTAAGGGCAGCGACAGCTGGTATGACTTAACTGCGTATTTAAGTAAAGTAAGTGGGCTAACTCATGAAATCGCAACAGAAATTCCGAAATGCGTTTTCGCTTCGAGAAGATTAATTAAGTAAGGTTGTAAAACTAATCCTCATGCAGTGTGATTCTATAATAATTAAGTTACCTCAGAATGCCGGCTTTCGAACGAACTTCTTTCCGTTTGCATCGAAAACCCATACTCCGTAAAAAATGACTACTTAAGTACTATGCATTTTTTCCTTGATTTTTGACGTCCTTAAAGATTTAATTATATTTCATGGAAAGCCTGCATAAAAATATTCACTTTTTTTCTCATTCAGTAGAAAATTACGTTTTCTTTCAATTTCCCACTTGAAGAAAGGGTATAATTTGATTTAATAAAACTTTTCCAACTCCCGAATAATTTTGAACTCGTTCTACCGTTGCACTTGGATTCAGTGCTTCGAAACTACAAACCGTATATTTTCCGCGTGCGGAAAACCATACATTTCTCTAAGGTATTAAGAGGAGACCATATGGGTTCATAAAATTAAGCAGTGGATTTGAACCACACTATTACCTTTACAAGCCACATTGGTAAATGCAGAGACATGACGTTTTATGAAGGGCCATTTCACGGTATTAAATAATCGCACAATTAAAGACTTTTTAAAAACCGAATTATACCCTTCCTTCGAGCGTAAAATTGAAAGAAGACGTAATTTTCTACTGAGTGAGCGAAAGAATGAATGTTTTTATTCATGTTTTCCATGAAATATAATTCAATTTTTAAGGGCATCGAAAATCAGTGCAAAAATGCATACTACTTAAGTAGTCGTTTTTGCGGAGTACGGTTTTTAGACGCAGCCGGAAGGACGATCTTTCGAAAGCCGACATCTTGGGGTAACTGAATTATTATAGAATTATGTTGCAGGCTGACTGGTTTTACAACCCTACTTAATTAATTTTTTCCGAAACGGAAACGCATTTCGGAATTTCTGTTGAGATTTAATGAGTTAGCCCACTTACTGTATATGTATACAGCATACGAAGCCGGGTTCCTTGAGGAGACGTCAACCAGGTGTAGTAGACTCATGTCATTTACCGACGTAGGCTCTATGACTGAACTCTAGGTCAGTGAACGCCACCATCGTGACTTTGAATAATCCCGATCACAGACGACAACGCGCGAGCATACAGCCCAAGTGGTGAAGCGTTTGGCTCAAATATTCGACGACCAACTGACCCGGACTTGAAGTTCGCGTCGTCCCGGTGCGGAATGGCTGGCTGATGATGATGATGGGAGCTGAGCCGAAAATGGTGGCCTTAGCCGACCTCGTCGGGGATGAGAACGTGAGAACGGCGCGTATTAATACTATCTACTACATATGCACGAAAGCCTTTTTTGCCCACAAACATAGTTCTAATTGTCTTGCTTAATTTCCGAGGAAATTAATGAGCGAACTTGGAGTGACTCTTTCGAAACAGGCCTTTTCAGGCACGGTCCGAAATTTGATATGAATATTTGAGCTGAAATCCATCAGCTACTGCGGAATAACCGCTTAATATTCACAAACCGCCAACAGGCAGCCAGTAGTATAGCATTTTGCAATAATTTACCGTACTAACAACACAGGTATTAGCTAAAAGCGGGACGGTGCGACAGGTTACCGCACAGGGCATACCAGTTCTGACAAGTGCAATATCCTTTAAAATCTGCGCACACGTAAGCTCCACCGTCCGACCAACACGGTGCCGACATCACATTAGCGCACCTGCAAATTTTTTCGCCATAAGCACTTCCGATTTGCGTGAGTCAGTGCTGATTAGTAAACATGTGCGTGTGTGAGTGGTATCTAGGCTTCGCTCAGGCAGTGTTACCTTCACCGTCTCTCTCTCTCATGACTCCACAGCATATGCTAATTCTGAGCACCCGGTGTGTTGATCAACGCATCAGTGTACGCACCGGCCGGTAGTCCCAGCTATCAATCATCACTGTATACCGGCCAGGAAGGGCGTAGATACGAGGAGACAAGACATTGGTTGGCAACGAGGTGAACTATATTCCGCTCCGCGGCTGCAAAAGTTGAGAGGATTAAAGTGATGTGCCAGGGAATCATCTCGCACACGCACACCGAACCAACTTATACAATCGGTACCTCCCATCGAACCGAGGCCCAGCCGGGAGTCTATGGCACGAGCGCCTCGGTTGGACTTGCCGGGAATCCGTAGTACTAGAGCGATGGACAAAAATAGACACCCCAGTTGAACCTCAACCCCCTCTCAAACCCGTTAACTAAAACCACCTGTTGCTGATAAATCTGCTTACTTGGTGTTTGAATTCTAAACCAACAGGTCGCGAATTCGAGCCCCAGGTGTCACACACTTCGGGGTTGGGCATGACTGGCTGATGACGGCTAATAAGCCAGAAATGGCCATTCCAGTCTCCCCCGTCTTTGTCGGTAATATCATTCTGCCTATATCATGCGCCGCTGTGCGGCTGCTGGCTGGGCTCGACGGAGAGAGCCCGTACGACACAACAGAACGAGTGAGTCCCGTAGAAACGATCGGTGAGCGGCAGGTGGTTAAACACTGATGAACTTCGGTTCGATGAAGTGCTTATGACCCATCTGGTAGACCCCAGTGGTGGACCAGCTGCGCCCGGTGTGTCTGTGCGCATGTTTGTGTTTCCGGTACCCGCTGCTGGTGGTCAGGGTTATGATTGGCTGAATGAAGGCAAACAAGCCCGAAACAGTGCTGTAGCAATCTACCCTCCAGACTCTGTCGTCTCCCCTCTGATAGCAAACCTGCTTGGTTGGTTTTCATCTGCGCCTGAGCTGTTCATTCCACCTTTAGCGTTTCCTTTGAATTATTAAGCCGGCTTTGTTGGGTAAATTGTCCTGCCCACAGCAGAAGTTCGTTTGTTTGCTAAGATGGTTTTTTTTGAGTGATTCTCCCTCTGCCCACCGTTTTCCTTGTGAAAATGCAGAGTGGATTATAGCCTATATGATACTTAAGCCTACTTTGGTATTGTTATTGGCTTTGTAGGGCTGCGAGTGTGTAACTGCGACATTTGTGGCGTATCATTGTCGGACAACAACAATCTGAAGAAGCACATTGATACCGTTCACAATGGTATGTTTCAGTTATCTGCAAGTTGTCGTCTCAACGTTTCGACAAATTCTTCTCTGTGTCACCGCTTTTCTCCGTCCTGTTTCCCCATATTTCTGCATGTTATTGTAGCCTTGGGTATTCCCTACAAGCCCTGTAATTTTTGTATTCGACTATGCAGCACTGTAGCGGATACAATGACAGTGTCGTGACCACAACGGACCAAAAGATAGTTGTAAATACATAGATAATTTGTAGCTCGAATTTTTCTCATTAATTTCCTATTCCCTTACAATTTCTTCTTCGAATTATGTTTTTTGGGATGCCCGTCTTCCAGTATATATATGTGGCTGAATGAAGGCAAACAAGTCCGAAACAGTGCTGTATCAATCTACCCCCCAGACTCTGTCGTCTCTGTAGATCAGAGGTGGTATGCATTTCGAGTTGACATAATGAAAAGTGGAAGAGGTTCTTCGGAAAAGTCGAGTTGTACTCGTGAATTTTCGAGCTGGTGACACCAACCCGTCGTCAGACGAAATGCAAACAAGAGAGAAAGTTAGGTTGTCACAGTAGACCAGTTGGCGTGATAGGACAGACAGACAACTGGCGTGTGGGGGGGGGTCCAGAAGTTATGGTAGGTAGGGGATCAACTACCAACATGCAGTTCAACTTAAGCACTTTCGGTCGAGGGAGGGAAGAGTAAGCAAGTGCTATTATGCCCCTCCCTGGCCCAAACGTTTCTGTCGCAGACGAAAAGAAAACCAACTACTAATGGAAAGTTCAAGGCTGCTAAGTAATATCTGCTGAGCCTGAGGCTCCAGAGCGGTTTCTCGTCCGAAACTCGTTTCGCTGAAAATCAAAACCTCTTTCTCGGACCGTCCAGACCAATCTGACCTGTATAAAAAAATACCCAGCATGCGGTGGAGGCGCTTTGGGAAGGCTCGGCATTTAGTCGGTGCCCATCGGCCGTCAGGTGGTAGAATGTCAGGAATCAAACTCTACGGTCACTAAAACAATATAAAACTACGTGTAGAATAGGTAGACGCACAAAACCGCATCCGTTGGGTAGCTTCACTCCTGGAACTAGAAGAACTTGCGATTTGAGGGGGGCTTTCGTCGAACTCCGATTTTGCGGGTCACAGACTGGGCATACACGCTTTACCCTTTAAGGCCATCTGCGCGCTCTTAGTCTGTCTGTATTGTAAGACTTGTTGTTTTTAAAGGCAGGCGTGAAACAGGATACTAAGGCCACTTCCACCAACAAGAAGCGTTAAGCAGGGTGTTATTGTGTGCGGAATGTCGGTCCTGAGTTGTTCAGTTGTTACGATATGTACCGACGACGACGAGGACGACTGAGCTTCGTCCTTTGCTCAGAGTAACATTTGAGACAGAGTAACATTACCCACTGTCTTTGTCGATAATGCAACTGCCTACGTTACGCTCCGCCGTGCGGTTGCTGGCTGGGCTTGGGAAAGCCTCAAGGCCCAACGGGACGAGTGAGTTCCGCAACACGATCGGTAAGGGCCCTCAACCACTATATATACATATATATGTAGATGCTAAAGATTCGAGGTCCAGACATTGTAGCACGTTCAGCATCTCCCGAAGAAGACGAAGAAGAAGAGGGGGGCAATTCATGGATAATATTGTATTCGAGCTGACATTTCGGAAACCTCCGCGTTTCCATCATCAGATTAGCGTACTTGTTCCTCCTGCCAGTCTTGACCGACGACGACGACTAAGCTTCGTCCTTTGCGACAGTTAGCTAGGAGATAATTGTCAGTCGATCAACTCGTCGCACCTTAAAACGGCATAGATGTTACTTATCATCAGATCGCCCTCATCAGTATGACTGGACGCATAAAACTGACGTAAGGTCGACCACGGAAAAACACCGCTTTAAAACCACATCAGTGTGCACAACAAACACCGCAGATTTGCGTGCCACAGGCAGTGGATGTATCAATGAGAAGTCGGTCAAACCGCACGCAGTGAATGGGCAGGCTTTTTTCTCGATCAAGGTTTTATGCAAGAAAATAGGATTGACGCCAGGTTGGCATACAAATTGGTGTCACTTGCAGCAAATCTCAGAGGGAATACAAGAGGCAAGAGAAGAGAGACAAAATACTGGGCCCCGACCCTTTGAGTCCAGACCATGGATTGACAGCAGTGCCCCTCGTGATTCATTTCGACCCCCGAAGCCGTCGGTGATGATGATGATGATGATGATGATGATGATGATGATGATGATGATGATGATGATGATGATGATGATGATGATGATGATGATGATGATGATGATGATGATGATGAAAATTCACGGGTGCCCCGAGCGCTTTGCTCAGTTAACTGACATTTCAAAGAAATTTTGCAAGAGGCAGAGGCACTGGAATGGCCACTTTTGGTCGGTTGACCACGGAAAAACACTCGCAGACCCTAATCGTCGCCTCCTATGTTAACCCAATGAACACGTCAGAAATCGATCAGGTTTCATGGCTCTGAAACAGATCCCGTGACTCGAATCCCCTCCTTTCACAGTTATTGATCAAACTCGTTTCGTTGCGTCTTGTAGTTCAGTCTAGAGCCCTCGAAGACAGTTGTATAGCGACCACTATTGGTGCCAGACGAAGCACTCAAAGCCATACTAGCCATCGTCAGCCAGCTAGGTATAACCCCCGATTTAGGCAATTTTGAATCCGAACCTCTATCCTCTGATCTTTGAGCGTCAGGCCCAAAACTCTAATTTTGCTTTGCTGGTTTGGGCTATAGTTGTCATCTCTAGACCGGCAGCTACAGAGTACGTCTTCGTGAGCGGAGTGTGGCCGGCAGAAGTGCGCAATAAGCCCGAAGCAACTGGTGCTCCCGTGGCGGGCCAAAGAAACATTAAGCCAGTGAAGTTAGTCAGACAGACGGTCGATGCGGTAGGGGAAAACGTCGGGCGCAGAGGAGGCGTCAGATCGAGGAAATCCTCCCGTTCGCCCACCACCCGGCCTGTTTACTCTCAGTAAGAAAAGTTGGTCACAGGGAATTTCTATACCACGGCAAGGCGAGAGTCCGTTTCCCGATCCAAAACGCAAAAAACAACCGACAGCTACCCGCCGGCGACGATTTGCATGCCGGGGGAGACGGGTGTAAGAACAAACTCACATGGCAAAATACTAGAACGGCACGTTCTACGAAGTTCAGGCACGCTTCGTACAAATCTGTGGAATCAGGGTGACACGCGCGCGCGCAAACACGCAGACGGACTGGCGCCGCAAGGGTACGTTGTGTGCATGAAAGCGCCCCAGCTCTCTCTGTCTAAACACGACACTTTGCTTTGGGGGCGCCAAAGGTCGAGGATGATGTGGCACAGGGTGCGGGCGGTGAAGAGCAATGGAAGGAAAGTTGAAAAAAGACAGCGCTTCACACTACCGCCTGCTGGAGCACCCCCACACGGACTACCTACACACGCCCAGGGTCCAAACACTTGACCGACCTGAAGTGGAGAAGGTGGAATATGTCGGGAACGACGGGTGGTTGTTTGCAAGTCCTGACTTTTTTTCCGTTTGTCCTGATGGCCTAGTAATCATACGACACGCAAACAGTCCATGTAACAGGAGGGGCGTCCTCACGGAGACTCATAAGGGCACAGGCAAAGTTTACCGTTCGTCTGAGTAAAGTGGGAACCAGTAAATGCAGTCTGACTGTAGTGCAGGATATGTATCTCACGGAGGACTACCGTTTTGTGCTCACGCGGTGCGGTCGGCGCAAACAGTGGGACGTGGGTGAATAGAAGGCGGGCAGGGACTAAGGATATTGATTGGGTGGGAAATGGGGCTGTCTCCCGAACGCACTGCGCTGAGTCGTTATGAAGCCCCAACTACTGTCGTGCGTACGTATGGCGCGCGTAAGATGGTGACTCAGACTACTTCGGCTGCCGCAACCAATGGAAGTGGGCCGGGGGCCACTGGC